TGCATGTGAAAGCTGGACTATGAATAAGGAAGACTGAAGAATTGATTCATTTGAATTGTGGCATTGGTAAAGAATGTTGAATATACCATGAACTGCCAAAAGAACGAACAAATCTGTCTTGGAAGAAGTACAAACAGAATGCTCCTTAGAAGCAAGAATGGCGAGACTATGTCTCACATACTCTGGACATGTTATCAGGAGGGATCAGTCCCTGGAGAAGGACATCATGCTTGGTAAAGTAGAGGGTCAGCGAGAAAGAGGAAGACCCTCAATAAGATGAATTGACACAGCGGCTGCAACAATGGGCTTAAGTATAACAACCATTGTGAGCATGGCGCAGGACTGGGCAGTGTTTCATTCTGTTGTACGGAGGGTCACTACGAGTCAGAACTGACTCAAGGGCTCCTAACAACAACAAGGACAGCAGCAATAATCATCTTCCTCAATGGCCATCTTAATCACTTCCATTCAGCTCCCAATACCCACCACTGTATCACATCATGATTTTGTCTTAAGGCCTTCCATCATCTGAGTCCCTTGCATTAAGCTTGCTACTTTCAACCTTTTATCTCACACATGACTCTCATACCCTTGCACCCTCATCCCACCATCACTACCCTTATGGTTTGAACTATGTTTCAACACCTTACCTGACATTCATTTTCTCTATCAAGCCTTTCTGAGTAAATTCCACTTGGCTCCAATCACAAGGGCCACTCCATCAACAAGACACAGTCTTGGGCACTTATCTCTCTAGCTGAGATTGGTTAAATGTACAGTTCCATGGCTGTATTTACAAGGATTTATTTGTGCTTGTCCTGGCTACCCTGTATGCTCAGCCTCAAAAGTTTCTCTAGGACTATGTGTCCCACTTATTTTGAATGTCCCTAGTGACCTGGAGTGTAAGGCATTGAGTTGAGCATTACTAGGGGGCCAAAAATCCACACACTATGGATTTTTCAAGGCGAAATCACAGAGGGCTGAGTGGCGGGCATCTGCCCCTGTTTTCCAAACACCTCAGTGCCCTTACCTTCCCCCCCTCCACTCTCCACAGGAAAGACCACGTGTTCCTTACAAACAGCTTCCTGGACCTATATAAATCATTGCCTCAGAGAATGTCCACACTCCTCCTCCCTCTTCTCAGCCCTGCAGCCCCTAGTTGAAACCCTTTGGCCTCAGAGCTGTTTCAGCTCTCTGCCAGCCCACCCCCTTCTCCACCAAGGATTTGTCACTTCATTTAGCCTCTTGAAAATTCTCAGTCTTGTCTCAGCCCAGCTGTTCTTAGTTCCCTTTTTGGTCCAAGTCCCTGGCTCAGGGCAAGGCCTTCCTCACCCTATCAGAGCTTTCATCCAAATTAGAGCTCTGGGTCTCCTATTTGCCTGGGAGGGGAATCCACACAGCCTCTAGACTCTTGACATGGCTTAGAGACATAGTCTTTAATTCCAAAATATCTGCAACAGCACTAACAGGAGACCCTGAGAGCCATCAGTCCTCACACAGGCTTCAAAGGTGACATGCAGGAGTGAAATTTTTGCACTGCAAGTGGGAGTTTGGAGAGAGATATGCATGTATATCACAGCAGCAGAGAGAGAGGGACTAATTCCTGCTGACCTTTATCCTTCACTCTCTCTCCATACCAGAACCTTCCACCACCACCTTGCCAAATACAAAAGCAATAAAGATTTGGACTCTTACTTGAGGATTTTTACCAACTTCTATTATAAAAGACTACCCATGCATATGCAAAAGTTTCTTAATAGAAGTGTTTTGTTTTGTTTTTTTCACTATAGGGTATCCCCATAAGCAGATTTCACTATATTTGTTCCCTCTGGTCCTGGCAATACATAGGAATTTTATACTCTTTGGGTCTCCTAGAAGAAAAAGTTAGTCTATGAACAAAGCTAACCATTTAGGATTCCCCATTACTCTCCCTTGGGTTTGTTTTTATATCTTCTTGTCTCCACCACAAACCTAAAAGAATTTAAGGTGATTTACATGAAAACATATATGACACAATGACATTCATGAAAAGTGGGACAGGAGAAGAATGAAAAACAAGGGTAAGTACAATGTCGTACCAGAAAGGGAGCTAAAAATGCTTACTAGCATGCCCTATACACTTTCACATCAAATTTTGTATCCAATATTGGTAGAGAGACTTCCTGAGGCCAGATCTTAGGTCAGACTGACCGTAAGTAAAGATGATATAAAAAATAGACTGGATTAAAAGTAACCTTCCATTCAAGCCAAATCAATTAGGATTTATCAAATGTCTATTCTTCTATTTTAGCTATATAAGAATTTCTCTAGAAAAACATAGAGGGTATTCCTGCCGCTATTCTTTGGCCACAGCTGAGCAGGATATGGCATTGAATGGGCTTAAACCAGGGAGGTGGAAGGAATGAAGAACTCTTCTTTCCGCCATGGTTCTTCTTCCTATTACTTCCCAGAGGTAATGCTATCAGTTCTACCTTGGAGCCAAAGAGCAATGCCACAGAATGCTATTGTTTTGTTGCAATTACATTTTCATTCAGGATATACGGCCTTTATAATAAAGAAAAGCGAAAGATTTTAGATTAAGACTTACCTCGGCTATTTTAATTTCCAGTCTAAGCACCGACTTCATGTCATGTTCTGCTCGGGAGCTATTAGCCCCTAAAAGCACAGCAGTATCCACCATGAACTTGTAAAGGGCATCCCGATACTGTAAGAGATAAAGAAGCAAGTGACCATAACAAGCCTATTAGGAAGTATGTTTTAGAGACACAGAAAAACAGAAGCAGCAGGTGGAAATAAATGTCCTTCATTTTCACTCTGTACTCAAACTATGGTACAGGTATTATGCAATGCCAACCACCGACCTACCACTTTGGGAGAAAGAAGAGTAATGGCTACTTGGGTACTGTTTCCATGAGAGACAGAGATGTCCAACCATCAAAGATCAAGAGAACTACTTTTCTGGCAACCAGTGGTATTATGAATACATGAAATATCTCCAAATAAGCCCAGAATAGAAAATTAAAGGTCAGAAGTCCTCTTTCCAAGAAAAGTGAGGTTTTAATAAAATAATGAGAAAGAACTGCACTTTCTAAAAGCAGGAGACATGATCCATGAAGACTGGTGGCAATGATGATTTATTCTCTTCCAGCTCAATCTACCCACTTACACACTAAGAAGTAAAAGACCAGGGATTACAGCCCTGTGTCTTTTCTGTTTTGCACAGTATTCACAAAGTTATCCCGAGCTCAGGGGAAAAGTAAGAGAGAGAAGAGAGGAATGATGAAGAGAAACCTAGCAAATAGCAAATATAAAATTTCCTCCCTGCGTGATCATGAACCAATGGTTGGGCTATGCATATATTATTTTGCAAGGACTTTAAGGGATCTCATTAGGGGGTCACCTTTGATTTCAGATACATGTGTGAGAACACAATAAACCAGGTATTAAATGACCTCACAATCGTGCTATAGAAATAATATTTCCTAACATACACCTTGACTCTGTAAGCTATTTTTACTATGTATATGACTTCAGGACCTATGTAGTGCTTGGCACATAAACAAAAAAAAACTGTTGCTGTCAAGGTGATTCTGACTCATGGCAACCCCACGTGTGTATAGTAGAACTGCACTCCATAGGGTTTTCAAGGCTGTGGCCTTTCAGAAGCAAATCACCAGGCATTCCTTCCAAGGCCCTCTGAGTGGGTTCGAACCACCAACCTTTACGTTTAGTAGTCAAGCACTTAATGATTTGCACCATCCAAGGAATCATGCTCGTCGTAATGTTGTTGTTGGTAGGTGCCATCAAGTCGATTTCAACTCATAGCAACCCCATGCACAACAGAATGAAATATTGTCCAGTCCTGCGCCATCCTCACAATCATTGCTATGTTTGAGTCCATTGTTGTAGCCACTGTGTGAATCCGTCTCATTGAGGGTCTTCCTCTTTTTTGCTGACCTTCTACTTTACCAAGGATGATGTCCTTCTCCAGGGACAGGACCCTCCGATAACATGACAAAAGTAAGCAATATGAAGTCTTACTATTCTGGCATCTAAGGGGCATTCAGGCTGTACTTCTTCCAAGACAAATTTCTTCATTCTTCTCATAGTCCATGGTCTATTCAATATTCTTCGCCAACTCCATAGTCCAAAGTCATCGATTCTTCCTCAGTCTTCCTTATTCATTGTCCAGCTTTCACATGCATCTGAGGCAATTGAAAACACTATGGCTTGGGTCAGGCGCACCTTAGTCCTCAAAGTGACATCTTTGCTTTTTAACACGTCAAAGAGGTCTTTTGAAGCAGATTTGCCCAATTCAATACATCGTTTGATTTCCTGACTGCTGCTTCCATGGGCGTTAATTGTACACCCAAGTAAAATGAAATCCTTGACAACTTCAATCTTTTCTCCATTTATCATGATGTTGCTTATTGGTCAGTTGTGAGGATTTTTGTTTTGTTTATGTTGTGGAGTAACTCACACTGAAGGCTGTAGTCTTTGATCTTCATCAGTAAGTACTTCAAGTCCTCTTCACTTGCAGCAAGCAAGGTTGTATCATCTCCATATCGCAGATTGTTAATGAGTCTTCTTCCAATCTTGATGCCATGTTCTTCTTCATACAGTGCAGCTTCTCAGGTTATTTGCTCAGCCTACAGATTAAATAAGTATGGTGAAAGGACACAACCCTGACGTACACCTTTCCTGATTTTAAACCACGCAGTATCCCTTTGTTCTGTTTGAACAACTGCCTCTTGGTCTATGTGCAGTTCCTCATGAGCACAATTAAGTGTTCTGGAATTCCCATTCTTCCCAATGTTATCCATAATTTGTTATGATCCACACAGTTGAATGTCTTTGCATAGGCAATAAAACACAGGTAAAAATCTTTCTGGTATTCCCTGCTTTCAGCCAAGATCAATCTGACATCAGCAGTGATACCCCTTGTTCCACATCCTATTCTGAATTAGGCTTGAATTTCTGGCAGTTCCCTGCTGATGTACTGCTGCAATCATTTTTGAATTATCTTCAACATAATTTTACTTGCATGTGATATTAATGATATTGTTCGATAGTTTCCACATTCCCTTGGATCAACTTTCTTTGGAATGGGCACAAATATGGATCTCTTCCAGTTGGTTGGCCAGGTAGCTGTCTTCCAAATTTCTTGGCATAGATAAGTGAGCACCTCCAGCATTGCATAAGTTCGTAAAAACATCTCAATTGGTATTCCATCAATTCCTGGAGCCTTGTTTTCACCATGCCTTTAGTGCAGCTTGGACTTCTTCCTTCAGTATGATCGGCTCTTGATCATATGCTACCTCCTGAAATGGTTGAATGTCAACCAGTTCTTTTTGGTACAGTGACTCTGTGTATTCCTTCCATCTTCTTTAAATGTTTCCTGTGTCATTCAATATTTTGCCCATAGAATCTTTCAATATTGCAACTCGAGGGCTGAATTTTTTCCTCGGTTCTTTCAGCTTGAGAAATGCCAAGAGTATTCTTCCCTTTTGGTTTTCTATCTCCAGGTCTTTGCACATTTCATTATAATACTTTACTTTGTCTTCTAGAGCTACCCTTTGAAATCTTTTTTTCAGCTCTTTTACTTCATCATTTCTTCCATTCACTTTAGCTACTCTATATTCAAGAGTAACTTTCAGAGTCTCTTCTGACATCCATTTTGACCTTTTCTTTACTTTCTGTCTTTTAATGACCTTTTGCTTTCTTAATGTATGATGCCCTCGATGTCATCCTACAACGTGTCCAGTCTTCAGTTGTTAAGTGTTCAATGCGTGAAATCTATTTTTGAGATGGTCTTAAATTCAAGTGGGATATACTCAAGGTTGCATTTTTCTCTCATGGACTTGTTTTAATTTTCTTCAGCTTCAACTTGAACTTGTATATGAACAATGGATGGTCTGTTCTACAGTCGGCCCCTGACCTTGTTCTAACTGATGATATTAAGCTTCCCCATCATCTCTTTCCAGAGATACAGTAACTTTGATTCCTGTGTATTCCATTCAGCAAGATCTATGTGTATAGTCACTGTTTATATTGTTGAAAAAAAAGTATTTGCAATGAATAAGTCATTGATCTTGCAAAATTCTGTCATGTGATCTCCCACGTCATTTCTTTCACCAAGGTTATATTTTCCAACTGTCGATCTTTCTTTGTTTCCAATCATCAGTAATTATCAATGCATCTCGATTGCATGTTTGATCAATTTCAGACTGCAGAAGTTAGTAAAAATCTTCAATTTCTTCATCTTTGCCATTAGTGATTGGTGGATAAATTTGAATAATAGTTGTATTAATTGATTTTCTTTGTAGACATGTGGATATTATCCTATCACTGACAGTGTTGTACTTCAGGATAGATCTTGAAGTGTTCTTTTTGAGGATGAATGCAATGTCACTCCTCTTCAGTTTGTCATTCCCAGCATGGTAGACCATATGATTATCTGATTCAAAATGGCCAATACCAGTCCATTTCAGCTCACTAAAGCCTAGGATATTGATCTTTATGTGTTCTATTTCATTTTTTACAACTTCCAATGTTCTTTGATTCATACTTCATACATTTCATGTTCCAATTATTATTGGATGTTTGCAGCTTTTTCTTCTCATTTTGAGTCGTGCCACATCAGCAAATGAAGGTCCTGAAAGCTTTACTCCATCTACATCATTAAGGTCAGCTCTACTTTGAGGAGGCAGCTCTTCCCCAGTTGTTTTTTGAGTGCCTTCCAACCTGAGGGGCTCATCTTCTGGCACTACATCGGACAATGTTCTGCTGCTATCCATAAGATTTTCACTAGCTAATTTTTTCAGAAGTAGATCACCAGGTCCTTCTTCCTATCTGTCTTAGACTAGAAGCTCCCCTAAAATCTGTTCACCATGGTGACCCTGCTGGTATTTGAAATACCGGTGGCATAGCTTCCAGCATCACAGCAACACGCAAGCCACCACAGTATGACAAACTGAGAGATGAGTGGTGGGCTTGGTATATAGCAGGCTTTCAATAAATATTTGTCAAATCAGTAAGTAAGCTTTGTGAATAGCCTTGGTTAAAACAATGCTTTACCATTCCCAGTTCAATTCAAAAAACATTTATTGAGCACCTACTCAATATATGTATAAGGTTTCATGCTAGGCACTCTGTGTGTATGTGGTGGGTGGAGGGACAATACAGATGAAAAATTAAACAATGCTTGAGTCTGATTCTCAAAGAGTGCGTGGTCCAGTGAGGGAGATAAAAATGTAATTACTAACCATAACATTAGAGAGACCAAAATTAGTTCCTTAATAAAGCTGCTAAGTGCTTGAAAACACAAGAGCTGGAGGAGGAATTCAAGCCTGGAGAAATCAGGGACACAGCATTTGAGAGAGATAGGTTCACAATAGTAAAGTGAGGAGTCTCCTGTGAAGTAAGGTGCTTTCTTGGGGGATAAGGAAAAGCAGATGAGACAGGAAAGGCAGTTTGGGAGGTCATGAAGAGGTCCTTGAACTCCCTCTAAGGAATTTAGATCCTGTCTTAAGAGCAAATTCAAAGTGAAAAGACAAGCTACTAACTGGGAAAATATCTTCGGAAACCATATATCCAAAAAGAACCTAATAACCAAAATATATATAAAACTTTGACAACTTAACAACAAAAAGACACATAACCCAATCAGAACATGAGCAAAGGACTTGAACAGACATTTCACCAAAGAGGGCATTCAAATGGCCACCAGACACATGAAAAGATACTAAGTGTCATTAGTCATCAGGGAGATGAAAATCAAAACCACAATGAGATACCACTCCACTCACACTAGGATGGCTAAGATTAAAAAAAAAACAGAAAATAACAAATGTTGGCAAGGATGTGGGGAAATTGGAACCCTTACACATTGCTGGTGGGAATGCAAAATGGTATAGCTGTTGTGGAAAATAGTGTCATGGTTCCTCAAAAAACTAAAAATAGAACTACCACATGACCCAGCAATTCCACTCCTAGGTATATACCCAAAAGACTTGAAAGCAGAGACTCAAACAGAGACTTATACACCAATGTTCATTACAGCACTATTCACAATAGCCAAAAGGTAGAAACAACCTACATGCCCCTCAACAGATGAATGGATAAACAAAATGTAGTACATATAAACAATGGAACACTGCTCAGCCAGTAGGAGAAATGAAGTCTTGATACATACTACAATATGGATGAAGCTTGAAGACATTATGATGGGTGAAATAAATCAATCACAAAAGGACAATTATTGTATGATCTCACTTATATAAAAACACAAGAAAAGGAAAATATATAGAGAACAAAATTTATTAGTGGTTACCAGGGGCAGGAGGAAGGGGGAATGGAGGGCGTTAACAGTGATGGAAACATCTCATCGATTAAGGGTAAGGTTGTACAGCCAATTATTGTAATTGCTGTCAACAAGTTGTATACCTTTAAAAATTGAATTGGTAAAAGTTGTGTGATAGATATATTTACAATAATGACAAAAAAGATTAGCTGCTGAGGGATTTGGTTCCTTGGTTTGGCATTTAGGGTCATGGTTTCATGGGACATCTCAGTTCATTGGCCTAATAACGTGTTTAGTGCTTCTGTTCTACCATCTAGTTCATTGCATAGTGCCTGGAGTCTTAAAAGATTACAAGCGGCCATCCAAAGCACAAAAATTGGTCTCTATTCACTTGGAGCAACAGAGGAAGAAGGAGAGTCAGGAATAGGAGGAAGATATGGAATGTGTGGCTAATCGTCTCCATGAACAAATACCTCCTTTGCCATGAGACCAGAAGAACTGGATGGTGCCCGGCTACCATTACTGAACATTTTGATCAAAGATTCTATAGCAGAATCCTGATCAAAAGGGGGAAAATGTAAAACAGAATTTCAAATTCTCATGGACTCCAGACTTCCTGGAGCCATGAAGGTTGGATGAACCCCTGAAACTGTTGCCCTGAGATAATCTTTAAACTTTAAGCCAAAAATATCCCCTGAAGTCTCCTTAAAACCAAACAATAGTTTACCTTACCTAGTAAAAAAGGTCTGCCTTGAGGATTTTGCTCTTTTAAGAACTATCTCTATGGGATCAAACTGATAACAGCAACTGAAAAGACTAGATAGGAACCTTAGGGGGCAGTGATTTGACATTAATGGAGGAGGAACAACTCAGAAAAGGAGGGTGAGAATGGTTGCAAAACTCAAAGAATGGAATAATGTCACTAAATGGTACACGTAGAAACTGTTGAATTGGTGTATGTTTTGCTTTGTATATTCTCCACAACAACAAAATAAATAAAAAAATTTTAAAAAGAGCAAATGCAGCATGGAAATGGCATGCTTTGAGAATTTGTCACGTGGTGCTAAGGAGGAAATGGAATGAAGAGGAGGAGGAACAGTTAAAAGGTTACTTGCAGTAGTCAAGAATTAACAAGGACCTTACGTAGTGTAGTAAGTTCAGAAAGGAGGGACCAGGTGGAAGATATCTTTTGAAAGTAGAATGAATAGGACTTGATTAATTGGCTATAGGAGGAATAGGAGGTTTCAATTTGCTGAGAGGCTGGTGATCCAGCAGACACAGAGGTGCCCCCAGATTGGCAACAGTTCATTCTGTCCACTTTCAAGAAGGAAAACTTGTCAATCTTCTTTGATGAATTCTTCAGCCAGAAAGCTGCCTGGGATCTTGGCTAGTTTTCTACCCTCCAAAGCCTTCTACAAACAGCACTGGCACCAGCGACTTCTGTGGGCCAGCACTTCTCAGTCTAAGTTCAGTGCACTCTCAGGCTGGGTAGAAACCAGATAGTTCCCTGGGTCTGAGGTTCCTCTGGAAATTCAATAAAGTCTCCAAAACGAATTGAAAGTGTCAGGAATGAACAAGCTCTAATCCCATCTGCAGGTAACCGTTAGGTTTCCAAGCCAGCCCAAGAAGTCTAACCTGATTGATCTCATCTGCTTCTCATTAACCCTCCACTAACCTGGGGAAACCCTGGTGGCATAGTGGTTAAGAGCTACAGCTGCTAACCAAGAGGTTGGTAGTTCAAACCCACCAGGCTGTCCTCAGAAGCCCTATGGGGCAGTCCTACTCTGTCCGATAGGGTCACTATGAGTCAGAATCGACTCAATGGCAACATGTTTTTGTTTGTTTTTTTTTTTAAACCTGGGCACTTGTTAAAAATACAGATTCCTGAGCTCCACTTCAAGTCTACTAAATCAAACTCTCCAGGGCTGTGGCCCAAGAATCTACATTAACAGAAGCTTCCCAAGTGATTCTCAGGCAGTAAAATTTGAGAACCATTGGTCTACTGGGTATCCCTCCCCACGTGTTTACTTTTGCAATGTATAGTGATTTCTCTGCACTTCTGAGGACTAACTGCAAGCTCATTTCTTGGTTACTTCATTTGGATGTGCTGGCTCCCCAGCTATACCATGAGGGCACTGAGCACAGGGGCTTATCCAGTCTTGATGCCCAGACTTCCGGAAGACAGGGAGTCAAATTGATCTGCCTGAATAAAAGGCCTTTGCTTGCTGCATTGAGAATTTGGTCATCAAAGAGCCACACTGCTCACTTCCGGTAAAGAATCAGGGATCTTAGAACAACTTATGAACCCAACAGCAGCCTGAAAAGGCACATAGTTGGATATGGGTAAAACTTACAGACTTGGCTTCTGTGCTGTTATCAAGGTAGTCTTCTCTCACGGCTAGGGAGAGGGTTGCTTGGTCCAGCTGTTAAAACAAAAACAGAAAGCATTCTGCTAGCACTGTAAATTCTTACAAGAGTCATGAAATCACCTACGTCCCAGCCATATTTTGAGTTTGTGCCACCATTATAAGAACTCACTGCACTCAGAACTACACACGAATAGGCACTTCAGGTATCATAAAATGCCAGAGACCTGCCCCTGCTTTCCTGATTCATAGTTTCTAACCCTTTTGAGGTTCTATCTATATTTAATAGCACCAAAGTTATTTGAGTTGGCATAGATCTTACAGATTATCTGGCTTTCCCCCTTATTTGATGGGTGACAAAACAAAAGCCAGAGAAGCAATGTGACATGGTTGGGCTGAGCTCAGAGTGGAATAGTGGTCTTTTGTCACCAGACTCAGTATTTTTCTCACTACAGTCTTTTGGAAAACACCAGTCTGGATTAGTTGACTAATCAGACTTTCTATCTACCCACCCCTAAAATACTGTATTGCATTGATTTTATTAATTAAAAGGAATCAAATAATAATTTTGCTTTGAGAAAACTTTGCAAATTTTAAAACCCTCTCTGGAGAGTTTTAGATGATTACAAACACAAATAATAATGAGACAATAAGTAGAATTATTACTATAAAGAAGTATATTATAAATTATTCAATTAAAACTGTCAGCATCTTAAAAACAATTCGATGGGAAAAAGATAGTCTTCTCAGGGAAGGTGCTAGAAAAATTGGACATCCATATGCAAAAAATGAACCTCGACCCATACCTCACCCCTTGTACAAAAATTAACTCAAATTGGATCATAAGCCTAAATGTAAAACCTGAAACTATAAAACTTTTAGAAGAAAATATAGAGGGAAATCTTTGTGATTTGGGTTTAGGCAAAGAGTTCTTAGACCTGACCCTAAAATTGTAATACATAAAAGAAAAAACTGACAAATTGGACTTCATCATCATTAAAAAACTTTTACTCTAGGAGAGACACTATTAAGAGAATGAAAAGACAAGCCACAGACTGGGAGAAAATATTTGAAAAATCACATATATGAGAAAGGACTTGTATTTAGAATATATAAAGAAGAGGACTTGTATTTAAAATATATAAAGAACTCTCAAAACTCAACAATCAAAAACAAGTAACCCGATTTAAAACTGAGCAAAAGATCTGAACAGACACTTCACCAAAGAATATACGCTGATGGATAGTAAGCAAATAAATACATGCTCAACATCAATAGTCATTGAAAAAAAAAAACAAACTCACTGCTGTAGAGTCAATTTTGACTCATAGCAACCCTATAGGGTCATTAGGGAGATGAAAATTCAACCCACAATAAGACATTACTACACATCTACACATCTATTAGAACAAGAAAAAAAAAGTAATGCCAATTGCAGGCAATTGCATCATTTCATATGTTGCTGGTAGGAATGCAATGTGGTACAGCCACTTTGGAAAACAGTTTGGCAGTTTCTTACAAAGTTCAACATACACTTACATATGACCCAGCAACCCTACTCTTAGACATTTACCCAAGAGAAATGAAACTCATACTAACACGAAAACCTGTAGGCAACTTTATTCATAATCACCAAAAACTGGAAACAACCCAAATGTCCTTCAACTGATGAATGGATAAACAAACCGTGGTATACAATGGAATATTACTCAGCCATAAAAAGGAATGAGCTACTGATACACGCAACAACATGGGTGAATTTTTATCACATTCTGAAAAAGGCAAAACTTTAGGGATAGAGAGCAGATCAGTGGTTGCCGGGGGCTGGGATGGGGAGAGCGGCTGATTACAAAGGGGCCGCACAAGGTTAATTTTGAGGGTGAGAGAACTGTTTTGTCTATTGATTGTGGCAGTGATTGAACAGTTCAAGCCTGTTCAAGCTGCTTCTTGAACTTTTCTGTCTCTATGCATTTGACAAAACTAACCGACATATATACCACAAAAAGTGAATTCAACTGTAAATTTTTTAAAATATTTTTTTAACTTCCAGCAACTTCTCCAAATCTATGACTTATTCTTTCTTGAATATCAGCAATTGCCTAAACACTGAATAAAAGTGATCCCAACAGCAGACTTTCTCATTTAAATCTCTGATTCACACATTAAAAAGTTAAGCCAAATGAACAAGACACAAACTCATCTAAATAACAAATCAAAAAATTAATAGCATCTGAATAAAAAACCGAATCCTACATGCCTCTATCATTAGTTTATACGACTTTAAATTGTTTTGATCCATCTCCTGTCGTTTCATCTTCATCTTATTATAGTCTCAAATATTTTAGTATTTTTTGATACAGAAAAGCTGTATAGACTCACAGTTTTTTGTGAAAATCACCTTCATACACAACAGATTCTACAAAGGCTAAGTCAAGAGTTAGTGACGTTAAGAAAAGTTCAAGGAAAACTATTGCCTTGTTTGAGGGGGGAGAAAAAGATGTTTTCAAAACATCTGTCTTGTCTGTGTGTATTGCTAAAAATCCACGAATTATGTTGTTCAACTTTCTTCTCTAACTGGCTTGAAACAACCAAGTCACAAGCCAACCTGGCTTCAGACTACTACAATTCCCAATCTACCAAAATTTCTTCCAAAAAGTCAGCAAGCCAGGATCATGAAACATAAGATTATGATTAAGATGCTTTGGCTTCCAATTAAACTTGGACCACTTGGAGACTCTTTTGAGCTTCAGTCTCATAGGAAAGGAAATTATATAGACAGTATCAAGAAAGTCAAGGCTTCCCTCTCATGAAGTGAAATCCATTCACTGTAAAAGTTTGGATAATTCAAGCGAGGTTACTAGACGTTTTTCAAACCTTCAGATTTTTATGGTACCTAGGGAACATTTTAAATAGACCAATGGATTGAATAAAGTCAGTCAACTAAATCCTGTTAGAAACATACAAACTCTGAGGCAAAAGCCTTTCTCAAGACAACGACACTAGGACACTGTGTTATTTGGGGTCTTTTAATCCTTGTATTTATAACTGATCTGAATATTGCAAGCAGAAAAGAATATATGTTTTTATCAACTCCAATGCACTAAACTGAAAATGTGAATTTTTTTCTCCAATTACAAATGATATTCTTATTATAATAAAGCTCTGGTTAGGAAATAAAATAACAAAAAGAAACACCTGGCAAATTATGATGTAGGAAAAAGGAAAGACAAAGAAATTAGAAAAAAATCCTCTCCGAGAGTCTCTCCTTGTCATCCTTATGAATTTTGCTGGGGAGCCAAACAAATGCAGACCACTGAGTGATGATGACTTTAAGTCATTGTTTTCAGTAAATAGTAGCACATTCTGAGACAACCCTTGCCTTCCAAACACTCTTTTAGGAATCACATATATTAAAGTCTTTTATTGTCCCCTAAATCTTAATTCTGGTTCCTCTTTATATAAAATAAACCCAAACACATGTAGGAAGATAATATTTTCAGAGATTAACTTCTGTTGTTTCCCATATTTTTGTATTTCCTTTTTCCCATTTAAGCCAAGAGCAAATTCTGTGCCATCGTGCCGCGGGGAGCTTTGCTAAATTGCACGTCCTTGGCGTGGGGATGCATCTGCCCAGAGAAAGGAGGTGCCTTTTTCTTTACCCAAAGGCATCATGTGCTCACCAAAAAGTTTGCCTACAGTGCTGTGCCTACCCAGAAGGAGTCCTTCTTATCGCCATGGTCTTGTGGAATTGGAGAAACTAAAACCATTGAGGAGCCCTGGTGGTGCAGTAGTTAAGAGCTTGGCTGCTAACCAAAAGGTCGGCAGTTCAAATCCACCTGTAGGACAGAGTAGAACTGTCCCATAGGGTTTCCAAGGCTGTAATCTTTATGGAAGCAGACTGCCACACCTTTCTTTTGCAGAGTGGCTGGTGGGTTCAAACAGCTGACCTTTCACTTGGCAGTGAGCACTTAACCACTGCACCACCAGGGCTCCTAGTAGACTGACTAAAGAAAAAAATACATATTTCTTGCACACATGAATTTGGGATTGGAGAGGTATGTTGGGTACACAAACTGAAGAGAAACATTCTCCAGGTTGTTCTAACCAGTTGCCTAGTCACGCTTTAAGAAAAGGGAACCTTTTGCCGTGGCCTACTGTGTACCAGTCTCTGTCCCATGCACTTGCACAAAATTCACCTCATTTCAACCTCACAGCAAGAGGGAAAAGTAAATTTCAATTCACTCTTCTTTATACATGGGGAAACAGAAACTTAGAGAAGTCAGGCAATTTACACAAGGACCTTCTGTGAGTAAATCACAAAGCCAAACTGTGAACCTCAATCTCTTGAACACCAAAACTGACTCCACTACAGTAGTTGTTTTCAAATTATGTTCCACAAAATCCAAAAGGTGTTCCAGGGGCTCCAAACATTCCATCTAGATTTTGTTTTTATATTTTTAACTTTTTTTTAAGTGTACGTGAAGGCAATTTATTAACAGAAACAATAATTTAAGGAGTCCTGTTTACAGATGGTGACCATGGTGACTCCCCTTCCTGTGGGTGCTGTCAGAGGGGATGAAGGTGACATCCTCAATCTGCCCAATCTTCATTCCTGAATAGGCAAGGGCTCCGAGGGCAGACTGGGCCCCAGGCCCAGGGCTCTTGGTCCAACTTCCTCCTGTGGTGCAGAGTTTGATGTGTAGGGCAGTGATGCCCAGCTCCTTGCACCTTGGGGGCCACATCCTGGGCAGCCAACATGGCGGCGTATGGTGAGGCTTCATCTCGGTCAGCTTCACCTTTGTCCCACCAGTCACACGGCAGATGGTTTCCTTGCCAGAGAGATCGGTGACATGCACAAAAGTGTCATTGAAGGATGTAAAAACATGGCAGACACCAAATATATTCTCTCCTTCAGCCACCTGAGGGCCCAGGCTGATGACCTGCTCTTCCTTCTTTTCCTTCCCCTGGCAAGGTGCCATTTCTACGTGTCGTCTCCAGACGCCACCACCAGAAAGCATTCTTTAACTACTTTTAAACTAATAAAAGAAACAACACACATACTCCACAACATTAACACTCACCAAAATACTAACTTTTGTTGCCAGGCTCATCAAATTTTATGCAGCTCTCTGAATAAAGCTTCTGCTACCAACTCTAGGTACATTCTTGAACTTCTTGTAACTGTGTCATGATTAGGAAGACTGTGGTTCTATTTTGTTTTGGGGAAGGCAGTTAAAGCAGGCATGTGAATATTTACTCATGTAAAATGGCACAAGCAGGGACATAACTAAAGCAATTGGGTGCTGCACTCAAATGCCAAGCAATGCTCAAGCACATAGGTTTGGAACAAGCTGCCACCTTGACGAAGAAGAGCAATAATGAGTACATGAGTGCCTCCTTACAAGTATTCTGGTATTGAGAGTTTAGTTTTTCTAGGATCAGTTTAATTGAATACTATATTAAGTTTGCAAGGCAAGCTGTTAAAAATTGGTTACCCTGTTCCTCTATTCTCCATGTTTTCTGTCAACTGGGATTAAAACTGGAAGCTTGACTACATTCAAGGGTGTTTTTTTGTTTTCGTGTTTGTTTTTGTTTTCTGGCAAGAAGACCTCACTGGTGATGGTGTGTACTTCCTACTGTATGGTATCAGGAGGCACACAATATTTGTTGTCCCACTTTTCACAATGCAACCATTGATAGTTGGGTTCAGATGATGTCAGCCTGATCGCTCTATCATGAACTTCCCATCAACCATTCATCTAATGGTTTTAGCAGCTATTGATGATAGTTGCCAGTCTACCTATTCTAATAAAAAAAAAAACTAAAAAACCAAACCCACTGCCGTTGAGTTGATTTCAACTCCTAGAACTGCCTCATAGGATTTACAAGGCTGTAAATCTTTACGGAAGCAGACAGCCACATCTTTCTACTGTGGAGTGAACGGTGGGTTCGAACCACCAACCTTTCAGTTAGCAGTCAAGCGCTTTAACCACTGCACCATCAGAGCTCCTATCTATAGCTAATAGGGATTAAAAAATGTAAATTTTCTAATTCCTTCGTTTCTCCTGCATTTCTTAGCTATGATTTGCCTATAAAGAGGAACTTTCCATCATCAGCTATTAGGTTAACCTGAAATCAGTCAAGTCCAGAATGTGGGACAATCTATAGGACAAATAATCCAGTTTCTTCAACAAATAAATGTGGCTTAAAAACAAACAAAAAGAGGGGAAACTGTTATAGATTAAAATAGACTTAGACGTATCGACCAAATACAACACATGATTCTTCTTTGCAGGCTGAATCAAACATCAAATGTTTTTTAAAAAATAAGGATATGTTTAAGACAATTGGAGAAAATTTAAAACTAACTGGGTATTAGATGTTAATTATGGAATTATGGTTACTTTTCTCAGTTGTGATAAATACTGAAGTATTTACCAGTGTAATGGATTTGCTTTAAAAAATGCTCTAACTCCACTCATCAAAAAAAGGAGGGGTTTAGATGAAACAAGAACAGCAGAAAGTTGATGGTTGTTGCAGCTGGGTTGATGGGTACATGGAAATTTATTGTACTATTCTTTTTACTTCTGTGTGTTATTATTTTCCATAATAAAATGTTTAAAGAAATAAATTCAATTCTCAGACTAGGTCCAGAAATTGGTGAAAAATAAAATGGCTCCATTTGCAATGACTTATTTGTGTGTGAATCAAGATCTTCTCTCATGCAATAGAGTACATAAACTTAAGCTTGAAAGACAGTCTCCAGCTTACTTTAGAACACCACTTAAGGTGTTTGAAAGGATATTATATAACAATTTTATAATTGAGAATGAGAGTCTTAAAGCTTAAGTTTTTAAAAAATGAGTAATCTATCAACATAAAACAAAGGTCAATTGGATCATCCTCATCATTGTTTCTTTACATAGCAGGTCTTATCCTGATGGCATTAGAATGTCTCAGTACCATGTTACCGTTTCATCATCCAACATGGAAACTGCTTCTGGAACTGAGAATTTCCTCTTGAGTAGATGGGAATTCTTTCAATGACTGAAGATCTTTATTGAAACTTCCACTGTCTAAACCAGGGGTCAGCAAATGACAGCCTGCAGGCCAACTCACCACACAGCCACACCCATTCATGTACATATTGTCTATAGGCAGAATTGAGTAGTTGCCACAGGGGTCACATGACCTGCAAAGCCTAAAATATCTGGTCCTGTACAGAAAATGTTTGCCGACCCCTGGTCTAAATCAAAAGATAAACTTTGGGGTTTAGATTTTGGAAGATTAACTTATACCAGGTAATATGTTCTAAAGGTCTTGTACTTCCATGACTTGAATATCAATATATCATTAATATTTTCTAGCTTGACAAAGGACAGAAAAATCAGTGGTTCAATAAAATTTTCATTAGCCAAGTAACTGTGGAAGCAAAAAAACAGCAGGATCAAAACATGACACCATTTGAGAAATGTTATTTGAATTTTTGCAAAGCTCTTTTATTGATGATCTTTCATCAGCGGGAGTTTTCTGACAGTCTCCTGACCGTAACAATGCAATCTACTTCACGGTCCATCCACATGGCTCACTCCCTTATGGAAGAGATGCTTACTCTCCCAATTGAAAACGCAAAGAAGCACTTAAAACAAGACAAGTTACTGTCAAGGTCAGTTTTGCCTTATCTTTTGAAAGGAAGTAGGAGAGAGAGGCAGACTGAACCTGACAATAAAAATTCAGGAGCATATTCAAGAAGATGTCAGTGAAAGGGGAACCAGGACCCATGGCATGTTTTCTCTCCTCTCTCAGGAGAATGAGGAGGCAAGGGCAACAGCAGAGTTCAGAAAGTCTTTGCTAACCAAGGGAGACCATGGCCCTCTCCCACTGGAACTTAGGGGCCCCCGCACATACTCAGAGTAGATATTTGAGGGCCAGATCACAGATCACTTGAAACTCACTCACCTACTTCCTGGAAGGCTGACAAAACTTGTCTGCTAATGATTTACATTCTGAGGGGTAGGGGAGAAAATATTCTAGATCCTACTACTCAACAGAATTTTTACCTTTTAATTTCACTAAGGCGGCATGAGTCTCTTTCCTCAGGAAGGCATCCCAAAAGGCAAACCTTGGACTGAACGAATAGGATGAAAAAAGTCTCCACTATACCTTCAAGATGTGTTCATTGGACGCCTTGTCGTCAGGAGACACATACAAACGGATGAACACAGAATTGCTGTATTGACCACGAAAAGTTGCAAGCGTGTGCAGAAGGCTAAACTTCCTCTCTGACCAAACCCCTTCAGGGCCGATATTCGATTCCAGCACAGGCCAGCGGAAAGGTGAATGCCGCAGGATGTGCAGCAATGGCTTGGCATCTGCTTTTTCTATTGCTTCTGAAAGGGAGCAGACATGAGGGGAGAATTAGAATTGCAAACTGGATTACCAAACCAGAACTGCAAGTGCATCTTCTTGAGAGAAAATTCCTAGAAGGCCCCAACTTAAAATTTCAGTCCTGGATCTTGGAATAGCTGTTAGGGAGCAGGTGGGAGAGATGGAGTGGAATGAGCATAACCACAAGACAGAACTACCTACAATTCACACTTCAATGTGACTGTCTAAACCTAGTGCTCTTGCCAGAACAGCTGACTAGGGCACCTGTTGGATAGTCCCTACAAATAATAGACGGGCTCGCTAAATCAACCCCAGGCAATGAAGCGATGTTAGGCTGATAATACTCTGCAGGACTAAAGAACAGACCTAACTCAAGGAAATGGCTCAGTGAAGCCAATCACTCCCCAAGGGAGGTGAATTAATGCTTCAGGCTCTCTCATCTTCTGCTGTCCTCCTCTAGCTCACCAAATGATACCCCAAATCCTAAACCAGTAACACAATTTCCAGAGACACTGGCTTTTTCCTGCAATGGCCTTGAGAAAGCAGGGCAGACAGAAGGACTATTCTAAGGGCAAGTGTCTCTTCTAATTCCAATTAGACCCAAGATGTGTAGACAGGCCTAAGGCACCTGACGGAGATGCCTGTTAGGCTGATCTGCCTGGGAATCAGAATTTCCCCATCCAGTAGGTCCTATGGAACGATCAATACTTCCAAGTGTTCTCCACCCAGGCACCTTCTCAGACCAGACCTGGCCTCTGGATTCTGGTTCTGCACAAGGTACAATGGGGTTTGCCCTTCTGACTACCCAAGTTCCTCACAGAGGAATTGCTATCCAAAGAACCCAAACTATAGAAATAAAAGCATTTTCTCAATCAAGTCAGCAATGGGAGATTAACTAAGACACAGCTAGTCCAAATCCAGTCTTTGAGAATTGTTCCTTTCCTTAAACAATACCTTTCAACATGAATAGATTTCTTAGTAGTTCTCTTTTTCCTGAAACAATATCTTTAAACATTAATAGAACTCTGAGGAATAAGTGTGGTAAATATTTTCTTTATTACTCACTCTCATTCATGCAGGATGAATAAAGGACTTTGGCTTTCTGTATGGCTTCGGTGTCCCGCCTTCGACTGATTGATTTCTCCAAAAGTGCTGTGAAGGTTGAAACAGGATTCATTAGTATCCACCCACAAGTGGTGCTGAGTTGGAGGTCATTTGACAATCACAGTGCTGGCCTCCAGAAAACGAAATGTAAAGACAGACAACCCTGGCAAAGACAGATCTATAAAAGACGTGAATACAGCAGAACCTATTCCAAGTTGCTTGAGGTTCAAATAAAAACAATTTAACATTCTCTTATCCAGGGCTCTCCCAATTCAAGAGAAACCAAAAGTTCAATTTCCAATGGAGACTAGGCTTTCCGTGGGGGTTAATTTCTTCTGCCACCTACACAAAAGGAAACAGAATTCATTTATTCAAGAACCAAAAATAACTGATTCTGTCACTTGTTTCTCAACAGAGGATATTTCATCAGGCTTGGGTTTCTTAAGATTTCTTCACAGCCCAGCCTCACAGGGAGGTCACCTGGAAGAAATTTCTTGTTAAAAGTTTTATTCCATGTTGCATAAACATGCTGTGGACATGGAAGAAATTGTTTAGGCTGAAAATGGAGAGGCAAGATTGGGAAGCCTACCCAAATTGCCTGAAAACTCACCCATTTACCCCTGCAAAGCCCTGGCCATTTAAATGAGGCTGTGTGTGCAAAATGTTTGCTAGGATAGACAGAGGCCCACTTTGAAAATGAGTTTCTATTTACAAAATTCTGAATGCTCTTGTTTGAAGGTGGGAAATGACCATTGGTCACGATTTCATTAAATAAGGAAAGAGAAAAGCCAGGATTCAATAAAAAAACAGCCCCTCCCAAAGCAGGACACCTGAATGTACTTTAGAGTATCAATTTACCCAAAATGAAGCCAAGATGACGAACACTTCTGGTGACTGCAGCCCAGTGGCACTACCTGCATCTATGTCAAAATGCGGTTGTCAAGGCATTTGTGGCTTAGTTTTGAAGCAGCCTAGCAGCCTCCAAAATCACGGTATGACAGATGTTCCTACAGTACTCTGCATAGCTACGAGACACAATGTACAGTGTTAATCAAGTTAATAAATAATCACATATTCCCTGAAGAGGAATTTACTTCTCAACTAGAAGGTCTATGTTCCAAAAAAATGCAACCCCGAGCTCCTGCCCAGTGTTTCATAAACACCTGTATGTAGAACAAGTCCATATAACTAGTTAGATTCAAGTAAAATAAATTAAGTTGGGCTGGATGTGGGCGTTTTCAATTATTTCCACTTGTTTGGTGTTTTTTTCTTGTATATTATCATAGCAATAGAGCTGGAAAACTAGCCCCAAGGATTAAGAAAGGAGATTGGTTTTTTAATAAACAGAAAGCTCTAAAACCATCCCCACATATATATCCATTCAAATCAGGTCATGGGCCTTTCCACCGTATTGCTTATACAGTCATTAGATTGTTGGGAGATACATCTGGAAGTAAATAATCCAAATTCCATTTAGCGATGTGATGTTGTTCCAAGGCTATAAACACTCCACAAGCTGCAAACACAAACACCCTAAGGACCAAAAACAAGCCACAGGGGCAAAAAGAACTCAAAGTATTGAATATTTACCTGCGTGTGCACCCAAAGTAAGCTGTGTATCACAAGAGGGGAGAAAAAAGGATATGAATATGCTTAGTAGGGCAATCCCAAAACCCTAACCACACACCAATATCAAATCTGTGTATGTCAAAATTCTGGTTTCTGTACCCAAATCTGGCTTTTCAAACAGATTCAGCTAGTACCGGTTCCTTGTCATGCCCTTTCCTGTCTCCTTTCCTTCTTCCCCACACAGGCAGGACAGCATTGATATGCAGACAGTGATGTGGCAATCAGTGGGTAGCATCCATTTTATGTATCTCTCCGTGTGAATTAGGGGTAAGAGGAATAAAATCCAGCCTGGAGAGTCATTATTGAGCACAAAACAAAGCCTGTCTATCAAAGGCAACTCAGGTTATTAAAATGTCCCTAAAGCACTGAGAAGGGCTCATGGGTCACCCATACAGGGACATTCCCATCAGGACGCCTGGGTTATTTCTTGGAGGATTTCTTAACCCCCTCCCCCGCCCACCCACTCAGGTATTCCTTCCCACAGTACAACGGAAAAGGAAAACTCGAGTTCATAAAAACTTCTAGTATGACAAACTTCAGGCTTTAAACTTGGTTTGAAAAGTACATTTGGTCATCCAATTTGAACATTACGTATATTATAAAGGTATTTTTGTTCTCCTTATTATGCTCAACAAAATAAAATTGGTTTAAAAATCATAAGGCAATGTAATAGACATGTCAAGGGGCCGGGCTTTCGAATCACACAGACATGGGTTCCAGTCGCAGCTGGCTGCTACTTTCTAGATGGAATTACAGCAAGTTATTCAACCTCTCTAAGCCTCTGTTTCTTCTTATCTGTAAAATTCACATAATAATAGTACCTACCTCCCAGAGTTGTGGTGAAGAGTTAAAAAAACAATACAGAGTCCCCAGCCCTGTGCCCGGGCACATAATAAGTGATCATAAATGGTGGTTCAAACAGGATTATAGGTTGGTAGCTTTACACAAAATGGTAAAGTAATCAACTTGTTCCTAGTACTTCCTCCGTAAATGTTTTGTTTTCTTCTTCCCTTCACAGGATATTGGCGGCCAAATGTCTTACACTAACCTAAGACACTGCCACTCTGTGTGTAGGATTATTTCACAAACTGGACCTACCCTAGCCACGTCACCAAATCCCTCCGCTCTCAGCGTGTCCTCTGCCGCCTTAGTAGAGGCAATGTTCACTGACCAGAGGTATTTTGCAGTTAGTGTTAACCTCTGAAAATATTTTGCTCATATTCCTCCTCCCGGACAACAAGAGATTTTCTTCTTTTTTTTATGTAATTTTTTCAATTAAATTACAGTATAACATGCATACAGAAAAGTGCACAAATCATAATTTGGAAGATTTTTCGCTAAGTGAACGCACCCATGTGTCTTAGTCATCTAGTGCTGCTATAACAGAAATACTACAAGTAGACGGCTTTAACAAAGAGAAGTTTATTCTCTCACAGTCCAGTAGGCTACAAGTCCGAATTCAAAGCATCAGCACCAGGAGAAGCCTTTCTCTCTCTGTTGGCTCTGGAGGAAGGTCCTTGTGATGCATCAGTCTTCCCTTGGTCTGGGAGCATCTCTTCGCAGGAACCTCAAGTCCAAAGGACGCACTCTGCTCCCGGCACTGCTTTCTTGGTGGTATGAGGTGCCCATGTGTCTCTGTTCGCTTCTCTCTTTTATTTCTCAAAAAAGATTGGCTGAAGACACTATCCAATCTTGTATACCTCATTAGTATAACTGTGGCTAATCCATCTTATTAGATCATAGTGATTGAATTTGCAACACATAAGGAAATCACATCAGATTACAAAATGGTACAGAATTATACAATACTGGGAATCATGACCCAGCCAAGTTGACCGAAATTTGTGGGAGACACAATTCAATCCATGACACTATATAACCCCCATTATATGCAGAGACGCAGAAGCACCTTTGTGCTCTGTTCCACTCACTACCGCCGATCAAGAGCAACTAACATCCTCCTCTGTGAAGTGCTTATTCAAGTCTGTTTCCCATCTTTCCATTGTGTAAATCTACCTTCTTCATAGTGATTTGTAGAAGTTCTTTAAATATTCTATATACAAATCCTTTGTTAAATATTTGTGTTGCAAAATCTTCTCCCATTTCATACACTTCATTTTCTTAATGATGCCTTGGGATGAACCGAAATTCTTAATTCTGATGAACCAAAATTCTTAATTTTAATGTAGTTTAATTTGTCACTTTTTGCCGTTAGGGTTTGGATGCTTGTTTTGTCCTATTCAAGAAATTTTTACCTACCCCAAAGTCATAAAAATATTCTTGACTGTTTCACATTTAGATCTACAATCCATGTAGAATTTGTTTTTGCCTATGGCATCGACAGCCATGCCTTTGTAACATAAGCCTGACCTCAGAGGGGACTAATCATGTGGAAACTTTAATAAAGAAAACGTGTTTTGTTACTGTGCCTCAAATAATAATACTTAAAAACACTTTTGGTGCATACAATTGGTATTACCTATAGATTATCCCTTTTGCATGTTCAACTAAATTGAGTACTCTTTTGGGCAGGGGCTGGGTCACATTCATCTTTGAATACCCGGGACCTAGTACTTGGCATGGATGGTGCTCAGTGTATGCTTGCTGAATTGAATTCCTAACAAGGAAAATCTGAGAGGAGTTTTTGGGCCAACTAAAAAGCAACTGTGAGATCAGGACTGACTACTTCTATTATTTCTTTCAAAATCAGCAATGCCCTGGTCATGCTAACATCCATAATCTCTTTTTCTCACATTCCAGTCTCAATGGCATGCAATGAAATCCAAGCCATTTTTTAGAATACCTGAGTTTAATTTTACCAGTTTTCTCAGCTTAATCATCTACTTCCTTCCCATCCCCTGCTCGTCTACACTGGGAAAAAGAATACTTATTTGTTATGTGACTCCCTTTAAACTCAGAAGCCAAGAGAGGACTATCAGTCCTACTCACTTAATTCCCTTCTGCTCAGACAGGGCATTTATTGAAAGCTCTGGCATAGAAAAGAGAGATTCCAAAGAGAGGACAGGGCTCCTGCAGAGTTTACAGTCCCCTGGTATTATGGATTGAATTGTGTCTCCAAAAAATATGTGTTGTAAATCCTAACCTCTACGCCCATGGTTATAATCCCATTTGGGAATGGGTTAATGAGACAGGATTAGTGTAGGGTGTGTCTTAAATCAATCTCTTTTGAGATATAAAAGAGATTAAACAAGCAAGCGAGAGAAGCAGAGATGGAGGAAGAGAGATGCCAAGCCACATGGAGATGTCCAAGGAACCAGGAAATAGAAGCTGAAGAGACAAGGACCTTCCTACAGAGCCAACAGAGAGAGAAAGGCTTCCCCTAGAGCCAGCACCCTGAATTCAGACTTCTAACCTCCTAAACTGTGAGAAAATAAATCTCTGTTTGTTAAAGCCACCCA